AAAAATGCAGAAATCACATGACTGAAATGTCTACTAATAAGGTTTGGGCATATACTGATTTATAAACTGTAAGCATTAGCATTGAAAATGTATCTCTAATTCATCATCTTCAAGAAAGTATATAGCAAGAGTGGCACGTGACAAGTGGTGTTACTTTCGGCAAGAAAAATCAACCAAAAAAAGTAACACTTTCAGAAAAAATAGATTAGAGAAAGTGCTATCCGAGAAGGCAACTAAAGAGCAAAATTACTGCATCTTTCAAGCTTCGACTGGCTTAAATTTTAGATCATATTAAGAACTTTAAAGTGATTACCAAGTACCTATCAGCACTCCATATCCGAACCAATCCTCGCTCGCCAACAGTGATGAAATTAATTGATGGTACATCACTTCTCTTCTTTGTCTGTGGATATGTCAACGAAGACAGGGATGCAGCAAAAGGAGATTCTGGACCAATTATACACACTGCTTCAAGTGACTCAAACATTGGTATGGTGGTCATGCAGCCATAATCATGTAAGTTCCACAAATTTACAACCTGTCATTAGTCTTAGTATCAGAAAGTGTTTTAATTGGCACTCAAGGTGTCATCATGAAGAATAATCAGAAAAAGAAGAAAAAAGCACTTTCAAGCTGATGACTTTCAACAAAAACATTTGATTGGTAATATGCATGATAGAAGTCTCCGCTAGCATGTATATAGGCCATCTAACAACTAAGATGGCATTGTTTTGGCAAACAGATAAGATTTCTGTGCCAGCATGAAAAAATCTAAGAAATTACCTGGTTCTCAGCAAGGCCAAGATATAAAAATGATTAAATTACAGCCATGCCTGAATTGGGGGGATTGAATACACAACTCCTTATGGATCCAATTTTTATAAGCATACCTTCACAAGTAAGTTCCCTCCAAAACGAAAAAAGGAAAAAGGAGTTTAATTCATTGTTAGGTGTATGTTCATGCCTTCTATTCTGAAAGGTGACATTTTCTTTGTTGATAACATAATATCAATCTGGAAACCCAAGATTTTTCTTTTTTGGGGGACGAATTCTGTTAGGATAGTTAGAAGCTCTAAACCAGCTTATACATTGCATGATGCAAGCTGCTACACTCTGCTTAGATTCTTGTATTCAAATTTAAAGGCCTTGAGATGAGTAAAGCTAATCTCCCTGTAGTCCACATTAGTTTATTTATGACCTCAGAAGCAATCAGACCTTTCTCAACTTGCCCCGCTAAAATATAAAAATGGGAAAAACAGATGAGTAAAAGGAGAACATGCCTTGTCTCTCCCTGCGCTAAGCAAAGTCCATCCGTCTTCAGATATTGCCATGGAAGTGATAGCTGATTGATGTTTCTCTAGCGTTGACAGACATTTCTTACCTGTCAGATCCCAGACCCTTACAGAACCATCATCACCACCAGAAAACAGCTATAGACATACACATAAACAATGAGCCAATTAGTTCAACCAGAAGAAAAGAAGACAGAGAGAAACCAGAGAAAAAAAGGGTAGAATTTAGCATGTCCACCACAACATAATTAAAAGAAACTTATTTTAGTAAATATGGGGAGCAAGTACAGCAAATGACTCAATTAACAACTACATAACAAAAGCTTCTTAATAGATAGCTACAATAAAAACGCTCAACCTCAGTGATTTGTTAGAAACAAAAACTTCACCAGCTAAATAAAGGGAGATTTTCACAACTCCTGTATTTTCATCCTCTAATTCTAATACTAGTCTAGAAAGCTCTAACATCATAAAAAAAAGAAAAGTTTACAAGACAAAAGCCCTGGCTAACATGGACTTGTTAAAGAGTCACCATTTCCAGCTGAAACAATGACAAGAGAGACCATTAGAGCATCATGAGAAAATTGGATATACATATAACAACTACTACAACACCTCAATCTCAGTTGAAGTGGACTACATGAATCTAGTATATCCATTCTTATTGTGAGGATTTATCATAATTTGACTAGTTTTTTGCTGGTGGTTGACCCTCTACAGTTTGCAACCCTCATTCTTTATCCGGGCTTAGAACTGGAAAGGTTAAATTCACAGAGGATAATGATGTGCAATGGATATCCATATCAAATTTATTTTTTTTTTAAAAATGACACAATAAAATCTAGGAGGATGAATCAACTTCCTTGATGTGCACTTTATAATTTAAAAAATGAATGTTCCAGTGACAATGGATGATATTATTTTCACAACGGTGCAGATATTTCATTTGCCTTGACATACTCATGTTGAGTAATTGTACACAGGCATGATACTTTTGAGTATTATGACTAAAGTTAGCTAAATGATGCCCTCAGTCATACGGTATAGTTATACACACTCGTATTGGCAATGTAGCAGTAGCCGGGTCCATGTAGCACACAGTAAATGCTTCCAATCCTCAAATATGTTCAAAGGAAGCACAAAATAAATCATGGCAAAGAAAAAGGAATACGGGAAGCCCAATGAACCAGGAAATAAACACTCTACCCTGGTATAGCTATGTAAGCAGAAAGCTGAAAAAATGTGATTCTTTTACATGTTCAGTATGACAAGAAAGCAAGCCAATAACTATAACAATCCAAATCTCACCAGCAGCCTATTCGGGTCAGGATGAAACATAATGCTGGTGACAACCCCCTTGTGACCTTTGAAATAATGAGTGCAGAAGCCTCCATCGACATCCCACACAAGAACTTTCCTGTCAGCCCCAGCTGTCACCAGCAATCCACCTGATGCATCGCTAGCCATGCCCATTACAGGTCCTTCATGCCCCTGTAAAAGACACATGTCAACATTCAAGTTAGAAAGAACAGCAAATACTCTGCTAGCTATCCCACCTACTAACAACTTGTTTAGATGGTTGTTACTCATTGTATTTTGTCGTTAGTCTAAATACAATGTTTGTTTTGATTGTTGCTTAAATTTTATTCAATCGCACGGATGAAAAGTCTCATTTTGAGTAAAATTGATTTAGTGTGATCGCCTCCTTGTGTTACTACATTTTTCTCATTTTATCTTTACTTATTATTCAATACTTTTTATAGTAGCTCTCTACTATATACCCTTTTCTTGTAGGTTTATTATTCAAATTATTGATGTATGACATTAGGTATAACGGGAAAACGATATAATCTATCTAAAGGTTGTTTTCACTAAACAATACAGTATGATACAATACATTCCCTAATCCAGACAACAACTAGACCAGTTCAATTCCCCTACTCAATACCTTGTATCATAAACAAGTAAAGCTAAAAACTTCAAGATTATTACCTTCCAGGAGCGTATGCATTCCAGCGTGGAAAGGTCCCAAACTCTAATCTGTCGGCTATGACTAGCAGAAAAGAGGATATTATTATTAGGGCTAAGAGCAAGAGCTGTCACTGCTTCAGAATCACCCTCTATTGTAGATTTTATCGAAGCGTTTGATAAATCAACAATCTTTATCTTTTCATCACACGCGCATACAAGAAACGATTCATCTGAAGCAACCGCATAAGGCCCACCAGTATAAAACTGCTGCAAAGACTGCACACACTTGTAACTCTTCTTCAATGATACTGACGCCATTTTAGTATCTTTCTTCCTCTTGTTTTGGGGCAGCGAAATTCACGAACACCACCCACTATGTGTAAATTGTGAAGATTTGTGTGCCAGTTCTCTGAACGAGCGTTAAAGGGCGGAGCAGGGACAGGGTTTAGGGTTTTAGAGGTTTATAGATTTTTGGTCCTTCTGTTTTTTTTTTTAATTATAAATGTCACGTTATCCTTTTTGAAAAATGTTTTTTATACACTATAGTAAAAATTAAAAAAAAAACTTATTAATTCATTTTTATTTCTCCACAATAAATATTTACTTTATTGAAGATTAAGGGTAAGGAAATCTTATTGGTATTTGAATAATTTTATATCAACCATCAAATACTGGTTTGAACTCTTAAATTTAGAAATCTATGCTATGTAATCAAGTATGGTTACTTTTAAGATCACTTAATATTAAAGGCAAATTAATTTTATCTTAATTTTATAAAATAACACATATTTCTAGAGAAATATTTTTAGTTTCCACAACTAAGATGAAAGGGTATTTTTTTTAGTACATATGAAACCTTTTGTGTTACGATAGATTATTATATAACGAATAATCACGAGACTTGTGTATGCAATACGAGTGGTTGATGTCTCCCTCCTCAACTAGGATGCCTTTTTTAGTCCCACATCAACTCGTTAACAATAGTATGATTTTTTTTTTTATTATGATTTGGATAATTCTCATCTTATGGATTAATTTTGTAGTTTGGTATGACCAAAGTCGATTTTCTTAAAGTGTGTTAGTACAATCTGAATAAATAGCTCTCGTGGGTGCATCTTTAAAGATCTAGATATGTTGCCATTCTTGCCCATTTATTAGACAGTGAAGAGTGATCAGTCGAATATCCTTTATTAAAAAATTATATTATGTATATAAAAAATTAAATAAAGTGTATAGACTAAAAGCTAATTTGAAACTTTTAATCTTGTAATAAGAATATATTCCGCTTAAAAGATTGGTAACATGCAAACACATTACCTGGCCACCAAGTGCATTTTTTTTCCTTTTTTCTTTTAAACGAAGATATGAGCATGTAGTCTGCTTTTCAGTATTCGCATTTACACTTGTGCTTTTTTTGAAAATAAAGCTAAGTACCAATTTTATATCGTCATGTTCTCTATTTTGCTTATTCTAAATTATACACTTTGTAATCAAAGCTATTAATTTTCTATTGCCATGTTTCTTTGTTGCAACTTGTAACATAGATAGAAACTTCAATTTGATCGCAATTATCGGTCAAACATTTTAATTTTGAGTATGAGTATTTAGACACTTCAACTTATTTTTATAACATAGAAATCTCCACAAATATAAAATTAAGTTGGAGGTCATATTTTATATTCAAATACCATTAGCATGTTGTGCATTGACTCATAATCCCTCTGTTTTAGCTTCTTTTCATTGCACCATTTCTTGGCTTTTCATCTCTGTTCTCAACAACTATTCATTTGTGGTGTAGCTAACCATGTCTGAATCACTAGCAGGAAACAGGTTTCTTATTGGTTACGCTCTTTCATCTCAAAAGATCAACACCTTTATGAAAGATTCTCTGGTCATTCATGCCCGAGATCGAGGCGTTGATCTCATCCCCATCGATCTCGACAAGCCATTGATCGAACAAGGTCCCTTCGACTGCGTCATTCACAAGCTATATGACACAGAGTGGAGGAAACAGCTCGAAGAATTCTCCCTCCAGAGCCCTACTACACTCATAATTGACCCTGTAAATGCCGTCGAGAAGCTCCAGAATCGAGTCTCTATGCTCGAATTCGTCAACGAATTGAAAATTGAGCATCTCGAAACTCCTTTACAGGTTTTCTTTAATTCTATTACGTTGGAGAGAATTTGGGAGGAAAGGGGGAATTTTTCAATTGAACCTCCCTTGCTATAGCCAAAATCCACCTATGAGAGTTGGGAAAGTGAGAGTAGGCGGATTCAGAATTTAAGTTTATAGATTCTGAATTTGAAAACACGACAGTTTACAAAGTTCGAAATTAGTTATTTATGCATTCTTAGTATCTAGAGATTCGTATCGATACCTCTAGATTGTAATCTTCAATAATTGCTTTGCAGGTTTTCGTTTCGGACGATTCATCGGAATCTCTGCAGGACGCTATGACTCGTGAGGGCTTGAAGTTTCCCGTAATTGCCAAGCCGTTGATAGCAGCTGGCGCTGCAAATTCACACCAATTGTCTTTAATCCTAAACCAAAACGGATTAACAAAATTAAATCCTCCAATTGTGCTACAGGAATTCGTGAACCACGGTGGAGTCATTTTCAAAGTTTATGTAGCAGGAGATCATGTGAAATGCGTGAAAAGGAAGTCACTAACCGATATCTCTGAAGAAAAACTGAACACTAGCACCTCAGAGAATTATCAGGTATCTAATTTTTCTGCTCAAAATCAGAGCGATCACGAGAGTTTTGCAGAGCTCATAGAGGCGGCAGAAATGCCGCCTTTGAGCTTTGTAAACGAAGTGGCTAATCGGATGAGGGATGCTCTGAAGCTGCATCTATTTAACTTTGATATGCTAAGGGACAGTAGAATTGGAACTCGATATCTTGTAATTGATGTCAATTACTTCCCTGGTTATGCTAAGATGCCCGAATTCGAGACTGTGCTAATTGATTTCTTCATTGATATTGCACACCAGAAGCGAAGCAGAGAGAGTGGTAACTCGGACCAGATGGAGAATAAGAACTAGGAGGCAGATTCGAATAGAAACAATTTATAACTAGGCTGATTATGATTTGTTTTTAAGCGAATCGAAGTGACAAATGACTGAATCGATTTTAATCATTAGACTTTTACTGTTTTAATTCTCCTGCATGTATTGGTGTAGGTTGATTATGGACTGGTATTGGGCATGTAGTCTAAAAAGTTAAGTGGCATCTTCATTTTGTTATAAAAATACATTGATCACTTTTTTGTCATTAGGCAAAAAGTGAGTGCTTCTTTGTGAAATTAACCATTACGAAATGCACTTTATATATTCATTTATCCTAACTTAAAATTCAGAATTTGCCTCGTTTTTACTAAAATAGAAAATAAAAAAATAGCAGCACAATATCAATATGTCTACTTGTCGGTCTTAAAATAATATTTTCCACAACAATATAACTAGTAGAAACTTATTTTAGCGAATATGGGGGAAATAACATAGTTAAAGAGAAAAAAAATCTCCAATTTATTCGCTACAGATGAGTATTAATTTTGTAGAGAATTGTAAGGTATAAAAGTTGAAATTAAAGATTTATCACAAAAGAAAAAGAGATATTCTTTTTAAATGGACTAAAAAAGAAAAACAAACAAATTAAAACATAGAAAGTATAAAATACATATAATTATTTAATTGTTAATTTGATAATTAAAACGAGCTACGATCAAATTGTTAATTGTAGTAAGGAGACATAGAGATGGCAGTGGGGCGGGGGCAGATGCGGTGTGGAGTGGGTTTAAGGTTGTGTGGGGGGGTGGGATGCGGGTCGAGTTGAAGTGGATTTTTTTAAAATTAATGTGGGGGTGGCAATTTGCGGGTAAATATGATTTTATGTGGGTTCAAACTTAATTTTAATTTTTTACATGAGTGATAAAACATTATTTATTAAAAGCTACTAAAATATTCAAGACAGTAAATGAAAATGGTTCAATAAAAAATAATACAATTTCTTACATGTTTCCCAATTGACCTCTAAAAAATAACTTTTCAATTCACTATCCTATTAAATTAATACAACTTCGTGAAAATATGAATTTAGTTTTATGGATTATATTTTTAGTATCAAATTTAACTAGAAAAAGACTATATTAAAAAAATTATACAAGGAAGGTTTATGCTGGGGGGGGGGGTCTATGCCGGACGGGACGGATTGAAAATGAAAAAAGTTGTTATGCGAGACCGAGCGGAGCGGATTAAAATTTTTACGGGTTAAATTCAACCCACCCACCCAAACCCTGCACCTCCCCATTGCCATCCTTGGAGATATTTTTTTTTTTAAAAAAAACATAATGAAAAGCAAGAAAACTATATATACAGTACACATTTATCGGAAGCTTTTCTAAATCAGAAAATTACATGTACTATAACTTTTGAAGTTATATTTTAACCAATACAGGTTGTGGTGCAGTGAGATTATTTCACCCTTAATTAGAGAACTCAAGTTCGAGTCCTGGATATGGAGAAAATCATATTTGCAGCATCACTCTTGAATTAACCCTACAATATGCGATGTGAATTTAATCAAGACTTCAAAGCGAATTTCGGACACTGAAGAGTAAAAACAAAAAAAGGCTATATTTTAATATGAAAACAAAGAATGAATGTACTACTTTTTGTCCTGTTCAAACAATGTCACGTACCGAGTAAAATTATTCAAAATTGCTATAGAAGTGTAGCATTAGCTTTAGCGATTGGAAGACATATTTATAAGTTTTCAACCTAACGTAGTAAATATGACTTTTTTAGAAATGAAAATTTTATAGCGGAATGCTTTCGAAATTAATTTACTTGAATGAAACGGAGGAAAGTGGAATTTCAAGTGTAGAGACGAAATTCATAGATCTATGAAGGAACACCAAAATTAGTTTCTACCTTTTGCCTTCTTCATTTTTGTTGTTACTCTATCGTTGCTCTAGTGAGTTGTCTATATATTATTTATTGCAGAATCTAACTATAGAATAAGATGAACTTAACACTGCATACGCAAAATTAGTAAGTAAATGTTTGTATTTATTATTAGATTACTTCTTTATTTTGAAAAATTAAGACACTTGTTATTAGTTTCAATTTTTATATAAATGCATAATTATTTTTATATCTCTATTAATTAGATAATCTAAAGAAACTCTTAAATTATATTAAGATGACACGTAATATGCCAAGTAAATCAAACAATTTCCATTTTTTTCTTCTTTTATGGTTTTAGTTGCTTATTTTTTTCCACTCTCGGTCATAAATATTCAAAAATATTAATATGATGCAAAAATAATATATATTACTCTTTTCGTTCACTTTGAATTGATTTTCTAGAAATAATTTATTTATAAAACACTCTTCCGTTCACTCACATTAAAATTGACAGGATCCGTTTGGCCATTTGAGATAAATCACTTTAATTTGATACATTGAAATTGATAGGATCTGTTTGACCATGTGAGATAAAATCATATAAAATAAAGTCCAAGCTTTTTTGGATACTAATTTAAATTTTTAAGTTAAATTTTTTCTCATAAACATAAAAAATTTCATTAGTGATGAAAAACCCAAAATCTAGTTAGCAATAATAAATAAAATAAAAATTTATTTGAAATATTAATAAACTTTTTGGGCGAATCGTAATTCGGGAACAATCAAAAAGTTGAATTGAAGGCCTATATTTTCATATATAGGCTTATCTGGGTTACTTCATGAACAACCAGTTCTTGCTTGAGAGACGAGATTCAACTACAACTTTTTTGCAGGTTACGCCGATCATCTTCCCTAGCTAGCTTTGGGGTTTTTCTGCAATAAACCAGGTAACAATACTAGATCTATAAATATATATATATAACTCTCTATTTCTCATAGACTACAAACTGTGGATTTGTTGATGTAGACCAATGGTGATAATGGTGTAACCTTGTTTTCGCCAATAAGATCCATGCAATTAGAATTATATTAAAACCCCAAAACTAAACAAAAACCCCATTTAATAATGTATTCAATGTTATACAGAATGTCTAGATCATGTTGAAACGAAAAAGAACTCCTACAGCGTGAATTTGAAGATGCTCCTGCTGTCCTTTCTCTCTGTATTTATGGCCTTGGCAATAACCTAGAACTTATTTCTTTAATACTCAAGTTACTATTCTCAAAAAAAAAGGATCCCCGTAATTGACCCCTTCCAAAGATGATGTTCCCAGAAGGGGGTATTACTGCTTGAGTTCAACCTAGCTTGTAGCAGACCCGTTTTAATTTGCTATCAGATGTTGCAACATCCTAGCCATTTTGCTACTTCTCATGACAATAAAATCATATGGACTAGTTGTAGACTCTAGGCGTTAGTAATGAACTAATTTAATAATTTATTCAATGTTATACAGAATGTCTAGACAGCATAAAGATCATGTTGAAACGAAAAAGAACTCCTACAGTGTGAATTTGAAAAACATGAGGTGTGGAGAGTTTGAAACTTTGTGTAGTTGCTTTGGGCAGTTGATAAGGCACCTAGTCCGGAATGACTGCCAAGGTCAAGGAACATGAATGGAAAGTGCTTGTAAACTTCACTTTTAAAGATAACGAATGTTAGGATCCAGTGACATCAACGTACCATATCACTTTATTAGTTCCTCACTCACTTAAGCATATTATCTTCAGATAATAAACAACCATTCTACACCCTGCAATCTGCATGTTCACAAATGAACCACCCAGAACCGAGGTGCGTTTAAATACAACGGGGGTGATAATTTAGGTAGGTAAAGGGAAATGAGGAATGAAACGTGCAAAAAAGTGATAATTTGGAGCTCCAAGATGAGATGCCCTTAATACCTTTGTCCTTTTGGAAGAACAATAATTTTAAATCGACAGTAGTAGCTTTGTAAGCAACCATGTGGAGCCTAATAAGCCAAATAAAGATAATATGGACTAAGAACTTAAGTGGTTGGCAAAAGTCTATATGTATATTTAGTCAACAAAACCTCTTACTAATCACTAGAACTAGACCTAATATATAGAAAGCTTTCACTAATAATTAAACCTCTTACTAATCCTTTGTAGATCTGTTAGATGCTCCTGCTGTCCTTTCTCTCTGTATTTATGGCCTTGGCACTAACCTAGAACTTATTTATTTAATACTCAAGTTACTATTCTCAAACAAAAAAAAAGGATCCCCGGAATTGACCCCGCCCAAAGATGATGTTCCCAGAAGGGGGTATTACTGCTTGAGTTCAACCTAGCTTGTAGCAGACTCGTTTTAATTTGCTATCAGATCAACATCCTAGCCATTTTGCTACTTCCCATGGCAATATATTCATATGGCCTAGTCTCTAGGCGTTAGTAATGAACTAATTTAATAATTTATTCAATGTTATACAGAATGTCTAGACAGCATAAAGATCATGTTGAAATGAAAAAGAACTCCCACAGTGTGAATTTGAAAAACATGAGGTGGAGAGTTGAAACTTTGTGAGTTGCTTTGGGCAGTTGATAAGGCACCTAGTCTGGAATGACTGCCATGGTTAAGGAACATGAATGGAAAGTGCTTGTAAACTTCACTTTTAAAGATAACGAATGTTAGGATCCAGTGACATCAATGTACCGGGGGTTGATAATTTAGGTAGGTAAAGGGAAATGAGTAATGAAACTTGCAAAAAAGTGATAATTAGGAGAAAACTCCAAGAGGAGATGCCCTTAAGACCTTTGTCCTTTTGGAAACTGAAGAACAGTGATTTTAAATTGACACAAGTAGCAGCTTTGTAAGCAACCATGTGGAGCCTAATAAGCCAAATAAAGATAATATGGACTAAGAACTTAATTGGTTGGCAAAAGTCTATATGCATATTTAGTCAATAAAACCTCTTACTAATCACTAGAACTAGACCTAATATATAGAAAGCTTTCACTAATAATTAAACCTCTTACTAATCCTTTGTAGATCTGTTAGATGCTCCTGCTGTCCTTTCTCTCTGTATTTATGGCCTTGGCACTAACCTAGAACCTATTTCTTTAATACTCAAGTTACTATTCACAAAAAAAAAAAATGACCCCCGGAA